CTTGCTTGAAAATCTATAGTTGCTCCTTGACTTCTTCAAAAATTAAAACAGTACTATTTTTATTTTTATTTTTCTCTCTCTTTCTATCTTTTTGATGAAACTATGATGATTTGAGAAGATACGTGATGATAAAATCTGATTGAAATGTCTCTATTTATAGCCATGAATGAGCTTTTGGTAGATAAAACTTAGTCCACTAAGATTAATAAAATTCTCACCCATTTGTTGAAAAAAAAATGCTAACTTAAAGACTTAACAAAACTTTGTTGTGATTTTCTCATCTCATTCTCACCAATTGATGACCAAAATTTCGTGCTTAATGTGATGTAATTGATTCCATATATTATTGAAAAAATGTCACCATTCATCATATAAAAATCTTTGGAACAAAATAATAAAAATAATAAAAATCATCATTTTTATTACTTATGCATTTTCTTTCAAAATGGATGATTTTTAAAACTCTTTTACTGAAAAGTAATTCTCATATATGGTCTTGGATCATGCTAATAAACCGAGAATAATACAATTTACGGAACTCAATTCGGACTTAAAACGAACGTTTACTGTAAAACTAAAAATTCTAAAATTTAAATCCTTTACTCACGGTTTTTTTTTTCAATTTAATAAACATATTGATTATTAGGATCTAATATAATTATCTTGAAATATTCTACATTTACGGAACCACATTCGAACCGAATGATTACCGTAAAACCGAAAATTCTAAAAATTTCGGTTTCTCTTAAAATAATTTAAATAGACTATACTGTCTAAATAAATTTTCTCACTTCTTTGAACATTTATCACTTAAATGTTCATGGACACTTAACCTTACTTCGAGACTTAACTTGTCTCAACTTATGCTAAGGCTCGATATTATGATCTTATCTTGATGACTTAAACACTTAGGAAAATTCTAAGTATTTAGTACTAAGGCTCGGCTATTTCTCAATTAAACTCAACTCATGACCGAACATACTTGAGTTCATTTCACTACTTATCTTAAACGATTAATCAAAATATACTCAATTTCGATTATTCGTCATCTTATATTAATTAATCCCGTCTTATAAATCCATTTATAAAAATAAACAGACCGGAATTAATTAATTACTGAACTGACTCGATTACTGAATAATATTGAACCGAGAATACTTTCGACTTAAAGTCGAATTTTTAACTGAATAACTTAATAACTGGCTCGGAACTAGGAACGAGCATTATTAATAAAAGTAATTAGTTCATACTTAGAATAATTACTTTTATTAATTACTGAATGGGATATTACAATCTATCCCCCTTAAAACTATTTTCGCCCTCGGAAATACTGAAACTAAGATATATACAACTATGTATATATATATTATATATATATATATATATATATATATATATATATATATATATATCATAACTCGAAATCTGGAAAACGAGTGTTAATATCAATTTCTCACTTCCCAGTGGCATTTAACTCTATGTGGCGATTCCATTTTATACTTACGAGGAAATATCTCAATTTCTCAGCCAATGAACCTTCTGGTCCAAAACTTCTATCGGCTCATTGTGCAAAAGCACATACTCTGGATCTCACACATACTCACGTAACTTGGTTACGTAAAACTCTATGCACACTGGACAACTTTAGAGAAGAATTTATTTAAAATACTTATCTGACTGCCTATGCGATACATTGCATACGATTTACCCACTACCCGGGGCCCTTCGGGTGCGGAACATCTATATGCAATGTACCTTAATGTCAATGTCACTTGTAATCATTAACAAGTCACATCTCCATTCTATACTTGCTTCTCTTCCGAGAAACCTTTTTACTCAATATCACTATTGATACTTACTTCAACCTCTCCGACTTAACTATAGTCGAGAATTTTGTTGAAACTTCTGTACTGACGTGGAATAACTTAACCATTCTCTGGTCATACCACAATTTCAACCATTAAGGTAAACTTTATTTACCTCTAATAATGCAACTGTCTTAATTAGGCTCAGCAATATCTCAATTATTGCAGACATCTCACATCTGATCTCGACGGCATTAAATGCTTACTGGTTGAGCATTTTGACATTCGGTATAATTTAATCATACCCGAAAACTTATCTTGTACTCATCTTTCTTCTATAAACCAACTTGGTAATCTTTTAATCTTCTTCAGCAATGGTCTGAATTCACCAATGGATTTAGTACTGCTAAAAATCCGAAAATTCTATTCCTTTCTCCCTCTTAATATCATAAAGAGAATTTATCGAGCTCGAATAGAAAGGTTGAGAGTACTTATGCTCAATAATATCCCAAATGATATAAGATGGTTGATTGAAGCAAAAGTTCGTGTATCTGGCGAGAATCCCAATGCATACAAATATCTGACAGGTATGGTAGAAGCACTTTTGCAAAGAAACGTAGAGCAAAAAGAATAGGCGTGTAACACCCCACTTTTATTTGCCGAAATTCCGGACTTTCAGAAAATCAGAATAAATTTTTTTAAAATTTATTTCAAACATTTGTGGAGTTCCTCATATTTTTCAATTGACATAACATCAGTTCATAACATAAATCATCTAACTCTCAGATCGATATCCATAAATTCATAAATCCATAAATCACAATTTCACCCCAAACGGGTTCCCAAGATAAAACTCAAGTTTTAAGACATGACAATGTCAACGGGGCATCTCCCCAATAGTATCTCGATACTTCATAAATTCTCAAGTTCGAAAATGCATAAATCGTAAATAGTCATAAAGATAGCGGAAACAAAATCATTTAATAACCGGTCTCATAGACCGACTACCACTCGCTCTACTCTGCCGTCGTACCTGCCTCGCTTAACCTGAAACGTGAATTTCAGGTGGGGATGAGCACAGTTGGAAAAAGTAGTGCTCACCACTATGCAGTAAACATTATTCACAATAATGAAACAGTAATCGATAATCAATAAGGTATGGTCTCAGCATGTATACGAATCAATTAATTATCCCAATCTTCTATCAATCATATCAATAATAGACTCATGTGCACACCTATACCAATAGACTACTGCCGGTAGATGTATCGAAGGCCCTCGCTCGGGTCATGCTTCGAATGCCCCATGGGCTCTACATCTATGCCCTCCGGTCCTACACACCGAATCGCCCCACGGGCTTCCATCGATGCCCGATCAGTAGGAGTAACCCGCCGGCCAAGGCCTCACCTTGGTCTTACCAACGGGGTTCGTCCAGTACAGGGACCTTTAACCCAGGTCTTACGGCTCAAAATGTGTCCAGTACAGGGACCTTTAACCCAGGTCTTACGGCTCACAATAATAAGGAGACTACCCAACGGGTACGTTCTATAGCTACGGGGATAACCGTTCGACGGCCGGTACAGCTCACATCGAAGGCTACATGTTCCACATGCATACTTGATCATACCAAAAATTTAAAAACAGTAATAACATTTACAGCATAGACAATTTTACATTAAACCCACCTGGTCCAGCATTGACAAATACGCAAAAGTTCAAGGTAGGTTCGAGAGCTCGACTCTTCGGGAACCTAGAATTATGAATTTTTATTATTAAGCATTTTGATTGGGTTGACTAGGCCACACCAAGAAATAAAACTCAAATTAACCTAACACTTAAAAGACACAAGAACAAGCTCATAAAAAAAAAACACATATTAGCAACACATTAACACATATAAAATTCAGCATATGAGACAATAATAATGCACGCAAAATCAACCAACATTTACGTGACATGACATAAACTTAACATTTTCTAGTTTACTGCTCACATTTTGAAAAATCAAGCATTTCATATATATATATACACAACAGGAAAGTTACAATTGGTCTCAAATATAACCATATAAATACATATAAATTATTTTATTTTATTTATTTATTTTTTTTTTAACAACTTAAGATCAACAAAAATAGGGCCCAACTAAATTGAAAATATGTTTCAATATTCACACATACTCAGTCACAGAATGTACATCAAAGCACAAATATATTTTAGACAAATAAAAGTTTCAAAACAATACATAACATCAAGCCGTCATTTCTCTCTTACTTCCTAACACTTAAGCTAATCATAGGAGGTTTTTAAAACTGATAATAAGGCCTCATAAGAAAAAGTATATTTCAGCCAACTTCTCTAACAATGAGGTTCATTAAAATATAGGTCCAAGCACAACAGAAAATTACCATACATACATATGCATATACTTGCTTCTAATTTCTTGTCTCTTTCTCCAGAATTCAATTAACACACCAAGGCTTTAAAAGTTGAGTGAAACACCCCTGAAATCACTTAATAACAGCTTGCTAACCATATAGCATAGGCTCAACAACATGGCAAAACACAAGGCACAAATTCACACCAAATATGCTTCATTCTCTTCTAGTCGTAAGGCATGCCTTTAAATGAAAAAGGCTGAAACTTAGCACCTTTTCACTCACTTCAGCACATAAAATCAATCTAAATCGTCTCAGCACAAACTCAGACAAGCAAGGTAACAAAATCACTCAACATAGCCATAACTTTCACACCGGAAATAAAGCACATAACAACACTTATACTCGGCCAAAACAGAGGGTATAAATATAAGCCATTAATACCTTCATCGGAACTAACGAGGCCGAAAAGAAGGCTTGGGTCAAGGCTAAAGCTCTTGGAGACGGCTCGGCTTACTGCCGCTCGGTTGCTGCTCGAGACCGGCAAGACGCTGTAGCAGTGGTCGGGGGCGTGGCTTCCTTCGAGAATATACGTGCTCGGTTGGAAATTGGACAAATGAACGGGACGAACCGAACCTGAAAGGTCGTAGGACGACTCGACGAACGACTGCTACGGGGTCTCGATGACTATCGGGCTGCCTCTGGGGTACCTCCGAAGGCACACGGTCGACGGCTCGTGGCTGAGATAGGTTGCTCAAAAAAACAACGGGGTCACCGACGATGGAATCGGACAAAAGCCGCTCACGAAGGGTCGAACATGGTCGCGCCATCTGCAGGTGTTCAAAACATGTTCAGTCCGCTGCCCTTGATCACAGTCATCGACTCTCGTTTCCGTCGGGTTGAGAGTTTCAGCCACCTAACGGCCGAACTCCTCGTCTATCGAAAAAAAACAGTCGACCGTCGTAGTTCTCTCGCGGGCTTTCGTTGGTGGAAATTATCGATCCTCGTCAGTCGCGCCTACTCGCCTGGAGGTAGCCGGAAGACAGGGCTCCATCTCAATGCTCTCATCGTCGGAAAACGCAGCTCTCGGCGACATTGTCTTCAAGGCGACCGAACGATGGTCGGAGAAGACGATGGCTGGTATGATCGCACCCGATACGCAGACGAGAAGAGGGGTTCGCGACGAGCGGTTTGCTGCGTGAAGGGTTCGTCGCTGGTGACTGAACACTGTAGGACGGCGGCGATTAAGGCTGGCGATGAGGTGAATTTTGCGAGAAAAAAAATAAGGGATCGAAGGAGAGGAGTTTGGACGCAAACAGAGGGAAAGGAATGCTGTGTGTTGCGGCAATCTGATCGTGAAATAAAGAGGGAGAAATTAGGGTTGTTGGATTAGTTTGCTTGGGCTAACAAAATGGGCCAATTTGGACTTAGTTTGGGCCAAAATATCATCTTACAAATTAGCTGGAAATTAATTCGAAGTGGGCCAATTAAATAGCACAAAGGGTCCAAAAATATATATTCAAAGGCCGAAAATAATATAATTACAAGGTTCTGGCAAAATACCAAAGAAACGGATCCAAACGGATCGTAAACAGCATTACGCAATTTAGCCAAAAATTGCCAAACGAATTTACAATCCTATTAAAATAAATCCCCATAATAACCACATATATGAAGTCACATAGCAATTCGATTAATAAACAGATAATTAAATTAAGGCAAGAACGAGCAGTTAATAATAATTAGACGAGCAAACAATTAATAATATAACCAAGTAAATGCAAATAAATAATCACATATATCCTAGAAAATTCCAATAACTAACGGGTTAGATCCGTTTTACGCGATTATACCGAAATCGCCGAGTGATGAACGTTTTACAATAACACGATGAGTACTTAAATATATAATTTAAGTAGACATCGCGATCAATACAATAAGTATAATCTCATTAATAAAATTAGATAAATAGAATAATTTGGAAAATTCTATAAATCGAACGGGGCATTACAATCTATCCTCCTTAAAATATTTCCGTCCTCGGAAATGAGAAAGAACACACATAAAAAAAGGAAACGACAGACTCGAACAGGGAAATTTCCAATCACGAGGTCCAGGCATCACCCTCCAGAACTCGATTTCGTTCCCATGAGTCCAATCGCCTAATACTCGAAAGGCATGAACTCACATACAGGAACCAATACGACTCGCCCATGCTCATATGTTTACCTTCTTGCTTGGGAGGGTGATCAGTCCTGCCCGAGCTCAGGCGTACATCCTCTTGCATGGGACCCAGTTTGGTTTAGCTTATACTCATGAGTATCAACGACTTGCAACAGCACACAAGACCTCAACAGGTTGTTCGGTGTATTGTCAGCGTACTCCGACTACCTCACCATCAAGTGGACCCGTGACGCCAAGTTTCAGTCTCGTATCCGAGTCACACTGACAACTTGCTCACGATTTCATCACGACCGTGTGTCTCTATCAGAGACAACGACACGGTACCACATACATAAAGTACGACACCATCAAGCTCACACTCTCATGATATCGACTCCACGAGTCGAACGCAACCCTTATGCACAAACATAAGGCTTGACCCAAAGCACCACGACATTCCCAATTTGCCGACTCGAGAAACTCTCAAGTAAAGCATAGGGACTCATCGACTACACTCCTTAATCAGAAATCATCTGATAAGGATTTATACACATTTTAGTGGAACTTGGAGCTCTCGATTCAAAGTTCGAACGAAAGGAGGTTCAAAAAGGATAATCAAGTATTTCGGCATGAAACGGTTTCAAAAGTTCAATAAAACATCGATGGCTGGCCGTATATGTTGGTCTGGGGAGTTCGTGCGAACGGTGATGGCGGCTGCAGTTCGCATGCAAGTCAACGGTCGGCCGCGCGCAAGCCTCCCGTCTCTCCGCATGGTCGTGCGTGCTCGGCCACCACTTCGCGTGGCTACACCCAGCCAGGGTCGGGGTTTGGTCCAGGTTTCCACAAGAAATTACAATTCAAGGCTACCAAAAAGGAATGGTTTTACCGAATTTCGAAAATTTTGGGATCAACAAAACAATTTATGTATCAAGCATTTCACAAATTTCAAAGTTTCAAAAGGTCTCAAAAATAGCAAGGTGAAAGCTCGAGTTCCAAGTCCACCAACTTCCTACAACAAAACGCAATATGCCACAGATCTAACGATACGCGAAATCTCAAAAGAACTCTCATGGCGATTTTCTCTAAGTCAGTGGCTTCTGCCGAGTCATTAAATAGATAGCTCGCTTCGGCTCTTCCGACTAACAGCGTTGGCCGACACGTCAGCTCTTCCTCGGGTAACTAATCGGGTCAGCAGTCCTAAACGAGCGCAACTCACTTCCCAATCTTCACACTTTGGAATTTGAACGCGAAGTTCCTCCCGGGATTCCGAAAGGAGTAAAAGAACCAACAATTTCTATGATGAACAAAATTTAGAATGAGAACGGTTCTGCACTACGCGATGTGCTTGCTTCTGACTCGACTATCCTCCTTAAAAGACATCTGCATAATCTTTTAAGGAGGAAAAACACTCCATCTTCTTATCGAACCGAATTGTGCTGGCTTCAGTTCCTGTGCGTTTATCTCGATGCCGAGCGTGAATAATTATTGTCCCCCTCGAGGTTAGGTTATTCACAAAAGTGGCGATAAACAAATTTTGCCCTCGAGTCTTCGTGATATTTAGCGACGGCATTCGAACGAAACTCTCATACTTCGCAAGAGAATAAAGATAAGCAGAAACAAAGAGAGGCTTAATCTCACTTGAAATCAAGTTTTTCAAAACAAAGTCATTTCCCAACATGAGATAAACCAGAATCAGCTAAACTTCAAGAAAAGTAAATTTAAAGTTGGGAAGCTTAAAATAGTTTACGCTACGAATCAAAATTAGGGGAAGATCAAGCGAAATCCTGAAAATACAAAAATTGGATAACAAGAAGAAGCCTCAAACACACTTCAAAATTGTTTGCCACGTGAATGGGAAAAAGGTGTGCAAGAGTATACAAGAAGACAAGAATTTAAGAAAGGCAGCACGGCTGCTTCGTCTTCACGAGTCCACCGATTCACTGTCTTCATCATCGGTTCAAGCTGTTCCTGGTAAGTCCCGCTGTCGCTAGGAAATCGCTCACGGCGCAAAATACGAAAAAAAAAAGATTTTTTTTTTAGATTTTTTTTTTTTTTTTTAAGACAGGAATGTCACTCAAAATCGCAGAATAAAATATACACGCGGTGCTGGATCGGTCTATCCGCCTTAAGGACAAGGTCGGATTTCTTCGCTGAGAGAATTTCGCAAAAGAATAGGTCACTATCGTCTTTCTCGAGGCCTAGCCACTCTCGAGGGTCGCGACAGTGTTACGCATTAAGTTTCCCACAACACTCCTCGGGGTCGGACATTAAGTATGCACAAGGCACCCAGACTCTACTCTCAGTTCGCACTCGACTAGGGTCAAATACACATCTGATGGTCTTAATAACCATGGTTACAGACCTCCGAATATCCCACACCTGAGACTTCTTCGGTTGTCTGCTCCCTTCGTTTAACTTTTCTCCTTTCGAGATGGCACGCGAATAGTCCTGTTCCGAAGACACCAAAATACATCGAGAGGACTGTTATACACAGAACTCAGCTCGATAATATCATATCAAATTTCTAAACAAACAAAACCTCAAGTTAGAACTTAACTCTATATCGCTAGAGTTCATGTTCATACAATTAAGGTTCGCCACTCATCTAGAGTTCCAGAACGTTTAAAACTAGGAGGATAAATTCCTAAGCCCCGGTTTACATCTCATCATATTATCTCATAAATCAAGTAACTCATAATCAATTCAAAATTTCTTATGAAACTCATACCTGAGTTGGCGAGGCACGACGGAAGCGAGTGGTCATATACTACATCAATAATACAAGTACTTCACATAATTCACGTATACCAGTCTACAGAAACGCAGACTGGCTCTGATACCAAACTGTAACACCCCACTTTTATTTGCCGAAATTCCGGACTTTCAGAAAATCAGAATAATTTTTTTTTAAATTTATTTCAAACATTTGTGGAGTTCCTCATATTTTTCAATTGACATAACATCAGTTCATAACATAAATCATCTAACTCTCAGATCGATATCCATAAATTCATAAATCCATAAATCACAATTTCACCCCAAACGGGTTCCCAAGATAAAACTCAAGTTTTAAGACATGACAATGTCAACGGGGCATCTCCCCAATAGTATCTCGATACTTCATAAATTCTCAAGTTCGAAAATGCATAAATCGTAAATAGTCATAAAGATAGCGGAAGCAAAATCATTTAATAACCGGTCTCATAGACCGACTACCACTCGCTCTACTCTGCCGTCGTACCTGCCTCGCTTAACCTGAAACGTGAATTTCAGGTGGGGATGAGCACAGTTGGAAAAAGTAGTGCCCACCACTATGCAGTAAACATTATTCACAATAATGAAACAGTAATCGATAATCAATAAGGTATGGTCTCAGCATGTATACGAATCAATTAATTATCTCAATCTTCTATCAATCATATCAATAATAGACTCATGTGCACACCTATACCAATAGACTACTGCCGGTAGATGTATCGAAGGCCCTCGCTCGGGTCATGCTTCGAATGCCCCATGGGCTCTACATCTATGCCCTCCGGTCCTACACACCGAATCGCCCCACGGGCTTCCATCGATGCCCGGTCAGTAGGAGTAACCCCTCGGGTTTATTTTCATAAATACGGGATAACCGTTCGACGGCCGGTACAGCTCACATCGAAGGCTACATGATTCGTAAGCACACATTGATCATACTCAAGTAAAGTAAACCATTTAGTGCATAGACAATTTTTAAATAAAACCCACCTGGATATTCTGAACTGAAATTGAGAGTCGTCGCTTATATAAGAACTCGAGGGCTCGACACCTCAGAATCTACATAAGAATAAGCGATACTCGGATAAACAACTAACTCTTAACTCGGTAACTAATTTACCAATTTGAAGGATTTCCTAGCTTAAGGTTCACGACTTATAAAATCTTTACTTCTATTTCATAGATGTTGGAACTCTCGACTCAGACTTGTAAAAAAATAAAAATCTCGAAAATACTCTTTAAAGTCTAAAATTTAGCCTCGGCTTAACTCCACAAAATTCTAATTTTATAAGAAATTTTATAGGCTAGAATAATTTAAATAAAACCCCCCTACTTTTTTTTATAATTATAAGGCATTCGCATATCAATTTTCCAACATAAATTGTTGAACAAAAATGAGGTAAAATCTCACGGCTCTTAGAATAACACTCACGGCAAAAGCAATAGAGTGATTTCAACTTCCTTTTCAATGGCAAA